GTTGATTCAAATAGTAATTGATTCATGGAAATTGGTGATAATATGATCGCCAAATATTTTGGTTGGATCGGGGGCCAACTACCACCGCGTTCTTTTGTCTCAGGGATTTATAATGAACTATAGTCGTTACTTCCAAATTTTCAATAACGATCACGACGCTGTTTTCGAATCGGATGAGTACCAGATATATTTCACGTTCAACTTCAACAAAAGTGTGAACAGAAATAGGAAAAAGCTGTAATTGTTTCGTTCCGTTCAAATACTCCAGAATGTATTCATCAGAGCACTAATAGCGCAGCTGAAGCGTGAACTCATGTTATTCATTGAAGACATGGATTACACAAAACTATTCGCCATTTTGGATATATAATGCTTGCATTGCATTGTGCTGTTTTCCTTCATTCGTCTTTCAGTGTTTGATACAATTGTGAATTGTAAGTTTTGCAACTGTGGTTCTTATACAGGTGAGTTTCAGAGTTTATAATAATTTTTGTGATTCTGTACTTGAAGATCATGGATTGATGAATTTCTGAATAATGACGTGAGGCATTGACGTTCGACTCTTCGACAGCATTAATTTGGAATTTTTTCATTATTTATTTCGATATTCATATTTTCTTTAGAACCAGCAAGGCAACAACCTACTATAAAATGAGGAAATATCTTTTCAAATTTATGATAAATTGACATTCATCATACAGGACGTGGAGAGAAATTTTGAATTGAGAAAAACCTCATCACGAATCTGCGATTGAGGTCTATTCAAGTTTGAATCCCTAGTGAAAGTATTGAAAAGGGACATTCTCAGATATATATGAACACAAGAAGTCCTATAAGTAATGATTCAAAATAAGTGGGGTGGTGGAGGGGGTCATTTGTAATCATTGTTATCAAATTGTTGATGGTTCAAAAGTTATTCTATTTTTCTGAGAAATGCAACCCATTTGAAAAAAATTAATAACAAAAAGATTGTTTTCAATAACCCCATATTATGTTATACCATTTCGGAATCTGTATTAAATGGGCAACGTTTTCTCATGATTGGTTATCTTTGTGGGGTGGTTTTTGAATCTGCCAGCAGTATTTAAAAATCGACTTGAATATTTCATTCGATGACAAAACTCAAGGAAAACAACATTTATCTCAGGTAATTGATAAGAAGTAATACTTGCCATAAAATTATTTCTGTGGAAAGGTGCATCCATGTGGATGGAATTTGTGAAAGAAAAATTCACAAATGTGACATAGTTTTAGTGGAATTCATTCTTTTTATAGATATGACAATACATCAATAACTTTTGAACCATCAACAATTGGATAACCACATATACGGTTAGTTTGATTGGAAATGACCCCCCTATCACCCCACTTCTTTTGATCCATTACTAATGGGACACCCTGTATATATCCATTTTTGTTGTGTTCATAAATATATCTGAGAATATTCCTTTTCGAGAAAATATCTTATTAGTCATTCTAATCACTACAAAGGTACGCCGAAGAATTTATTGAATTTGTAGGATAGGACAACAGTTTTTTGGACGTTTCGAAGAGTGTAAATTATCGAATAAAAAGTATGCTATATAAATAAACCAATGATTATTACATTTTACGATGTTTTAGATATAATACATTCAGCAGAAGGTACCTCCTCAACAGGCATATGAAGAAATAACTTGGAACCAGAGTAGAACACAGACACTGATTGAAAACAACTTGGGAGGAACCTTAATATTCATCTACTCAAGACTCAATTGTGGTGAGGACTGATTTATATAAACAATTATCTTTGTGATTCTTCAGTTTCCTATCCTTGTTAACCCATCAGTAAAGATTGAAAGAAAGTTGGGCAGTTGTATACCCAACATATTTCTATAATTGAAAAATCTGTTTGAGAGATGCTCAAATAGATATCCAACTGAACTATAAGTAGGTATATACCTACCTATCATTCAGTTACTATGAAAAACACACAATAAAGAATCAAGAAACTTGTAAATCTATCATCAGTTTGATTTGTTCTCTCGAGGTCTAGCAATCCCAATGATATTGAGTGTTCAGCCGTCTTCATCAAACATGTACTAAATACTATATCACTACAGATAAAATAAGTAATTTATATTCATTATTCCAAATTTTTTGGGATTTTCTCTCCTCGTTTCTATAAAATAAAAATATGAATTTCAATATACGTGTAGTAAGGGCAAATCAGATATTTTGCCCCAAAATGTCACTGCGTTTAAAGAATTTTCCTATCAGAGAGCCTAAAAGAAAAATTCACTAGCTTGTCAGTAACAATTTGTATTGAAAAAATTTTTGGAGAAGGGAAATAAAGGTATATAGAAAAAATATCAAATTTTCACTCATCTTTGGACGTTTCGGGACCGGTTCTGCTCCCGTTTTCAACATGAGAAGAGATTATTTCAATAGCGAAGTCGTATAATGTCTTGAAGCTTTTCAGTTTTCAATGACAATTGGTGACGTTGGCAATCAAATGAGTTACAAGATGTTTTCAATAATTGATCTTGAATTTACCATTTTCATGTTCAGATTTTAGTAGTGAATACCATGTTCTGTCTATATCAACTGAACAAGAAGCAATGCTATTGTCTCCGTTCAGAAGAATGCAAGCAGATTCCTTGATTTTTCTCTTCTGGTTGTTATCTTCTTTTCCAATAGTTTTAATATTATTCACATGTTGAAAACGGGAGCAGAACCGGTCCCGAAACGTCCAAAGATAAGTGAAAATTTGATTTTTTTTCTATATACCTTTATTTCCCTTCTCCAAAAATTCTTTCAATACATATTGTCACTGACAAGCTAGTGAATTTTTCTTTTAGGCTCTCTGATAGGAAAATTCTTTGAACGCAGTGACATTTTGGGGCGAATCATCTGATTTGTTCTTACTACACGTATATTGAAATAATATTCATATTTTTATTTTATAGAAACGAGGAGAGAAAATCCCAAAAAATTTGGAATAATGAATGTATCACCTCCTCGATCGATTAACCTACAGACAGTGAGTAATTTATAGTTACTTTTTGAGAAGCTTATGACAGTTGATTCCAGATACTTGAAGCCAAGATATTCTGAGCCCTGCCTTCGATTGAGAAAAAAAATCATTAGGGGCGATGGACAAAAACAAATCTTGGGAAAATATTGAATATGTGAATTTATTTGATAACGTGACTAGAATATGATTGATAGACCTACCTGAAATGAATCAAGTATATATTAATATGATGAAATATCATTTTATCATGGGATTGAATATGTTGGGAATACTTAATTATACTCAATGACTTGATGTTCATGTTTCGCAAGATGTTTCCTAATACTTTCTCAAATTCCAGCAATCAGTTTCACTGATCAAAGTAAGGATGAAATAGAACGAAACTGTTTTATTCTGATTCCGATGATTGAAACTGAATACTGAAGTTTGTAAAAGTACTTGGGGAACGCCCAGTGGAATTAGGTAACAAATATGACTACAAAGACATGGAACAATAACGTCAGAATAGTGGTTACACTTTTATTATGAAAGTAGTTGGAGTTCTGAATCAATAACGTTAACAAAAGGAACGTTGAAATGCCTTCGTTCAGTAGAAATAATAGTTACGTTAATGTATTGACGATGATTGAAACATGACGGTAACCTTAATACGATTAAGTCTTTGTAACGTGAAAAGGCTTTTGTTTTGTTGAAGAACATTCAACCTCACTAGGAGAAAGTGGATACTTCATTGTGCCCTATATCATAACGTAAAATGTGATCAAGGTTACAAGAATGTAATGAAACTGGCATGATTTTTTGCCCAGTGTGATAATATGAAAGATGCTATCATGTAACGCCCGTATAGAATGATTGGACCTGGTCCATTTGAATGACGAAAAAAAAAATCCATTCGTCGTTTATTTCGTCGTATAGAAATCTGCTCATGACAACGAATTCATTTTTTCTTCACCATTCACATTGAACAAGTTCAATCTATATAATCTGGGGTTATTGACTTCGTCAAGTATGTTTTCACTACCAAGGAAGTTTTCGTCATTTTATGAACCACTAGTCAATAAAGACATAGCGGCTGCATATAATTCGTCAGAACGTATTCTATCAACACCGTATTATATCAAAATATATTCGATCAAAATGATAATTCAACAGAACCGTAATTTAACGGAGCAGTAATTCATCGGCATGCAGAACATCATAATGTAATCTATCATGTTGTGTAATGAAGGAATGTACTTCATAAAAACGTAAAACATCATACCGTACTTCATAGAAATGAAAATTCATCATAACCGTATTCCATCAGAATGGTATTTCATCAGAATCGTATTCTGACAGCACGGTGAATCGACAAACCCGTATTGAATGAAAAAGGCAATTCATCAGAACCGTATTTCGTAGCTTCAGTTATTTGTCAGAATCGTATCCTGTCGCAATGGTGATATATGATAACGGTAAAACGTCATAATGGTAAATTATCAGAACTGTAATTCGTCGGAATATTATTTTGTCAGCAATGTATAGTATCGGTACTGTGAAACATCATAACCGTATTTTAACAGAACTGTAAATCATCAGAACTATGTTTCATGAGAACCGTAATCAATCGCTTCCGTATTTCATCAGCACATCAATGTATCATATTGGTATTCTATCAGAACGCTAATCCATCATAACCGTATTTCATCAAAACCGTATTCCATCAGAACCGTATTGTATTAGAACGGTATTTCGTCAGAATGGTAATCCATCGTAGGTACAGTGCCCTATCGGGAACGGAGTATCGACTTTTTGTCCGATTCTTAGGTATGCTATGAGATGGCGCTGGTGAATGCATGTAAGATAAATGACTCGTGAAGTAACAGATCAGAATAGCTATTTTAACATGCGATATGTTATTCTGAATGAGATCTCGATAGAATTTAACCTCAAGGATCTTTGTAAGCTTCTCAATACAGCTTCCCAATGTTAGATTGTATATTTTTCATATTCTTATTGTCGGTGATTGATAGGTGTATAGAGAGGCAGTTAGTTCCAACTGCCTGCGCGCGGTATCAGTTATAAGGAATTCGGTTGTAGGTGTAGGTATCTACAACTGAATTCCTGATAATTAATTATATTGAAAAAAAACCTTATCGAAATGTTATATCTATACAAGAATATATAGAGAAACAAGGTGCTTTCAGTCAGAATGAGATGAACCGATGGAAAATTTCATGTGTATACAGGGTGAGTCAGAATAATATGAGCTCGTGACAAATGTCGAAATCATCAGATAAATCACCTAATTTTGAATCCGTTCTGTGATAGGGTGTCAGGAATTGGATTACGATTTAAAATTCCAATTGGCTATAGACAGCTAAATTAGTTATAGGTAATCATTTATTTAAATTTGTTTAACCCATGGAGTACTTACGGTCGCATATGACCACATTATTCTTCATATCACCATTTTTAGACATCAGAATTATTCAACATTCTTCAGGCTGTTCACATCACACATATTTCATGAACCTGAACTCTCAAGTCACCAAGATGAATGCGGAAAACTAAATATTTCACATCCCCATTCAGAATAATGGATATATGTCATGCAGTTGTCACTTTGCCCGCAGTGAGATATAAAAAATGGAATCACTTTTTTTGTTAGTTTCGGATGGAATGTTTTATGTTTCTACCTAATACTTTGTTCATCGTTCGATGACCATTTTCATATTGTATCCACACTTCCCAAATTATTTGTTCTTCAACACTTTAACTGACGCAGTCACACAAGCCTTTTTAGTTCTCATGAGCTTGGACAACACCATGCACATATTCGTTGAATACGTCAACAATTCAATGTATTAACCCACATTTTGCAAGCAATATCAAGGATATATTTTCTCAGGGGTAGCTGGAATCACCTTCAACATGTTGTTTTCATATGCAACTCTATGGCATTTGACCACCCATTGGAAATCAGGTGGAAAGAGGAATCTAGCAAACGGGCAAAATTCTAGTTTTTTGTACGTCTCCGAACACTTTTTTCAAAAATGATTTTTCAATTTTTCTACGTATTTTTTAGTTACTTCAAAAGAACACAGTACGAACGCACTGTATACAAATTCTATGTGTGATATATTTTTGAATTCAGCTTCCTATGGATATTTCAGCAATTGAATAATATTCAGGATGTTCTATTTGAAAAAATCATCGAGGACATCATGAATCAGACGTGAATCACCCTGTATATTTGTTTTCTGCCTACAAATGCGACCTGCTTCAAGAGATTCCTCAAAAATGAATATTTTGGCTTAAAATGAATGTACCCACTACTACTATACGAGAATCCTGCGTATTTGCTGCATACAAACCCTATGTGTGATATATGTTTGAATTCAGCTTTCCATAAAGATTTCATAAATTGAATAATATATTGAAAAAATCGACGCAGACATAATAATCATTCCAGATATTCCACGAGATTCTTTAGAAATTGAGAGTTTGACTGAAAATGAATTGATTCAGTACTTTACGAAAACACTAATATGTCTGCCTGGCTTGGGGTAAGCACCACCAGGACGGTCTGGATTCTGAGGAAACAGCTTCTCCTTGTTACCCAAGTAACATGTATACATTTCAGCTTTCATACTTTAACGAAAGGTGAGTTTCAATTCATCAAGGTTCAAGGGTGTCTGCCGTCTGGCAAGGGGTAGGCACCATGGTGACTTCCCAGGTAGCACAGGTTAGTGGAATGACGTCATAATGACGTCTTCTTCAGGTCATTATTGGTCAATGACGTCCTCGACTTCAGAGGGACCTAAAAATGACGTCATATTTCATGACGTCTCATTGACGTTCAATATTGGACGTCTTTATGACGTCCCTACAAAGTCGTATATCCGACCAAATAAAAAAAAATCAGTCGCTTTCTTACTTTTTCATCGTTTGTTAATTGTACGTACTAAATGTGTGTTTGTATATACAGTGTTTTCGTGAGTACTGATGAACAAATTTATTTTCAGCCAAATTATGCATTTTTGAGGAATCTTCTGAAAACGGTCGATTTTCATTTTCAATTTGCCATATATTCATGAGAAAAATTGAATATACATACATGGTGATCCACGTTTGAGTTATGACCATAACGACAATTTTTTAAATAGAGCACCTTATATATATTATTATATTACTCAATCTTTGGAATAACCATGGGAAGCGGAATTCTAAAATGTTTAACACAATCATGTGGATTGTATGCGTCCAATAAATTAGATGCTCTTGCGTGAAGTAGTGGATAAATTCATTATTATCCAATATCTATCTCATATATTTTTGAGAAAACAGGAGGAGCTTTTATTTCTAATTCGACATTTATACGAAGGAATCATCAAATATACAGGATGATACACGTTTGTATTATGACGTACACGACACATTTTTCAAACGGATATATATTATTGAATTTTCGTAATCAAATGTATATCACACAAAGGGTTTGCATACAGGGCGTTCGTTGAATTCAGTTCTCTCGTAAAATTAGATCACCATTAAAATATAAAGATGACGTAATTTCTCCTACACGAATCATTCTGTATATATTGATTTAATATGAGATAAAGCTTGAATGAAAATAAAATTCTACGGCTTCGAGCATTATTCTCTGAAAAAAAGAATATTTTTTTAATTTTCAACAAATTTATTAGCAAATTCGCAAAAGAACTTAATCGAACAAACGCACTGTATACAGACTCATATATTTTTGAATCCAGCTTTTCATAGAGACTCCAAAAATCGAATAATTTATAGGGTGTTCCTTTGAAAAAATGGTCGCGGACGTTGTAACTCTTACTTGAATCACCCTGTATATTCAATTTTTTCTCAAAATGAAAATCGACCTATTTTGGGAGATTCCTCAGCAAGGAATAATTGTATGGTTATAAGTACATTGATTGGCTACTTTATTTACTTCACGCGAGATGACTCAATTTAACGGACACACTGTATACAAACCCTATGTGTAATATATTTTTAAATTCAGATTTCCATGGATATTTCAAAAATTGAATGTATTTTATACTTAGGTTATTATTGTTTTCAATTGAAAAAATTGCCGAGGACGTCTTAACTTAAACGTGGATCACCCTGTATATATATGATTCTTACTTTCAAATGTGGCGAATCGGAAATAAAATCGACCTGTTGCAGAGGATTCGTCAGAAATGGATAGTTTAGCTAAAAATAAGTTTATTCAGCTTACATCTCGCCGACGCTCGCTACATAATTTTAGGTACAAATACGAGTAGCTAACGATATTGTCATATAGAGATTCATAGGATTCAACAGGACTGCCCGGTAGGACCATCAACCAAGTTACCACAACGTATAGTTACAAAATGAATGTCATCAAAGGTTTGTATGTATTATCATGTACCAATAATACCGTATATATATAAACCTCCTAATTTTTTTTATTTCTTCCTTTATTGGTCAGTCTGCGGCGTCATTATGACGTCAAAGTATGACATCATATGACTGTGACATTTTGACGTCTATAGGGTCTCTCAGACGTCATTTTTGGACGTCCACTTCGTCATTTTATGACCAAAAAATGACGTCAATTGCTACCTGGGTTGTCTGGCAATGGATGACGTGGTTCCTGATATTATCCCGAATAAAATATGAAAAAAATATCCTTCATAGTGTGACAAAAGTACCTTGGTATTCTCAGCACCTTTGCTCCCTGTAACGTCCCAAAGGCACCAGGACCTAAACTTCATATTTGCCCATCTTGTGTTGGGAGCATACAGTGAGAAACTTTCGGATTTTATGAGATAACGAAGGTCTGGCTTTCATGGGGGATCTTGCTCTATACTGCGAACCAAAATTCGATCAGTGCGCTGCTGGGTTTTTGTTTCACCCAGCTTTTCAATGAGGTGTCACAAGCCATAGGATTGCATTTGAAAAAACATGTTTGGGCTGAATCCGGCTACCCCTGAACAGTTTCATATTATTTATATTGCTCTCAAAATGTAGGTGAACTCATCAAAACGTTGACGTGTTTTGCGAATTTTCAGAAAAATCCTTCACTTTCCCGCAGAGGTTCTATTCCAGTTTAGGTCTCCACACTGTATATTGATGAATGCGAATTGCGATTATTATGACGAATTCAATGATACCAGGTTTGATAGGGTTATTTCAAATGACCACGAAGGCATTCGATTCAGATTTTTCCATAAATGCTCAATGGGTGTTACTTCCCGATAACTGAACTTCTCTGTCACACTCATATGGAAACTAAGGATGCCATTATCATCGTATTCGTTTGAAATAATCCTGTAAAACCCGCTATCCTAGAACTCGTTATGATAATCCCTATAGCCAGATCATGGAATAATAAACATTAAAAAATCAACACTTGGGATAATTTCCGGTGAAACTGGAAGTGACAGAACTGATAATATTTTGTCAATTAATTAGAATCTGATCCCGAATGAATCAGAAGTTACAGCACTGGCAGTTTGTTGTGCACATCTCATACCAAAAGTATTCAGATTTTTCCAATCATATGGAGGTAGAATTCTCAAATTTCAAGGAACTAGAAAGCTTTCAAAGATACATTCGATGATCGAATACGATTATCATCAGTGGAATACACTGCCGGTAGCAATGGATTCACTGATATTTCCAAAAGGACTTTCAGTTCTGAAAAATGTATGTTTCGCCTCACTCCTCATGAAGGAGCCTATACATTCGATAATCAGGATGATTAAATTTGCTGAAGCGATAAATTGAAGCTATGGAAGGTAACATCATTTTCCAAGATTTTCTTATATCTTTCTCTCTTCGTTCATATAGATAAAAATCATCAGCAACATGCCTTCTCAGGTTGATACTTCTCAAGACAATTCGAAAGAATGACTCATTCCATTTTTCATGGAAGCAGATTCGTTACCGAAATATCGAAGTATAAATTTTCAAGTAATGTGATTTCATATTTTTCTAATATTCCTTTTCTTCAATCATTTTCAAAACTGAGTGGCACTAAAAACCGAATGAATTTTTCTCTAAGGCTCTCTGATGGAAAATTTTTTGAACGTAGTGATATTATGGGACGAGTCCTGACTACATTAAATGGCTCATATTTCTATATCATAAAAACGACGACAAAAGATATCAAAAAATCTAGAAAAATGGATGTACCACCTCCTCAATCAATCTACAGACAGTATTGATGGAAGTTGAACTCACCAATGATCAAATGGAATTATTAATCGTGCTCGCCAGAAGCGTAGGAGAATCCATGGCTGCTGACAACCAGTGTGTATCACTTGTGAGGATCCCACATCAAAAACACACAAGTGTATCATCGGCATTTTCTTCGCTTGAAAATCTCACCTCAATGATAACGTAAGCAACAAAACAGGTGTCTCCATGAGAAATTAGACGAAAGTACATTGTTTGGAACCAAAAATTCATTCATCAAAATAAAAATTGAATCCGAAGAGATTGTCAATACACTCTGTCCTGATACCCATTCCTGGGAATTTTGTTGATTCGAATGATCCTGGCGAGCAGTGTATCATCAAAAATTATCCTATTTGATCGTTTTGAGAGAATCATTCGAAGCTCTGTAGATCAAGCAGATCTCAAAAACCCAACTCAATAATTACGGAAGAGGGTGCTTCCATCCGAAGAGAATAAAACTGTATTTTTTAGTTGCATCGATCTGGATTCTCCACCAGGTATTTTTGTTCTCTCCTTTCTCCTTCTCTATCATACCAAACTGAATCCTAAATGATCCATGTATGTTATACAAATATTCACTCTCTATATACAAAACAAAACATTCCATTCAGCTATTGGTCTCAACAAATCTTTAACAAAACATTTCTGAAAAAAGCGCTCCAATGAAAGCTGTTTCTTGTTAGAAATACGATACCTTATATTTTGAAAAATGATATTTCATTTGTTGTTATTGAACAGGTTAAAAAATATTATTTCGAGGTTTATATTCTTTAGCGTTATAGGAATATGACTGGAAAACTTCCAAAACATTTTTCGTCAAATGGAAAGCATGGGGAATTCTTCAATATTTTCTAGATTTATAATAGTGAAATATTTATTTTCAGAATGAAAACACGGCATCAGAATATGTTGAATTATCGCGAAGATATTCAATGTTCCATTTAGTAAAAAATGTGCTTGTTGCGTTTGTTTCAATCAGCAGTTTGATCCATCGAACAATCGAAAATCATCCCAAACAAACCCTGAACAGCATCTATATGCAGTCGGCGGTACTAACACAAATATTCTGTGCATCTAACTGTGATGAAGTTATCTGTGATAATTGGATATTTAGTGTATTTACAGAATGCTGTACTGATGGAATACGATTCGGATAGAATACGGTTTTGACGAAATACGGTATTGACGAAATACGGTTTTGACGAAATACGAGACTGACGAAATACGGTTCTGACGAAATACGGTTCTGACGAATCACGGTGATGATGGAATACGGTTCTGATGGAATACAGTTTTGATGAAATATGTTTCTGGTAGAATACAGTTCCGATGGAATACGGTTACGGTTGATGAATTACAATTCTGATGTTCTACTGAAGCGACGAATTACGGTACTGATAATTTACTGGAGCTATGGAATAAGGTTCTGTTGGATAAGCATTCCTATGTAGTACGGTTCTGATAGAATACCCTATCGATAGAATTAGATTATGATAAATTATCGTGATGATGAAATACTGTTCTGATGAATTACTGTTATGATCAAATACGGTTCTCATCGAATACCATTCTGATGGATTACATCTTGACGAATCACGTTTTGTTATAATACATTCCTAAAAATTACGGAGCTATGTTTCACAAATCGATGAAAAACGTGCTTACAGAATACAGTAACTATCAATAACGGTACCTACGAATTAACATTCTGATGGAATATATTCTTATGAATTATATTTTGATGCATTATATTCTGACGTTTCGGGTGTTCCCGACATAGCAACCTATATTGCTAGACCACAGCCATTTCAGCACGATTCACATCGTCAAAATTAGGTAGATATATACTTTGTGAAATTTCAAAAAATGAATCATTCTTGGGCAACAAGTAATTCCCAGTCTACCATGAGCTGTATGTACCATAATTTGTTGAGCTCGCATGAGTTTCAACTCTTTGGCAGTTGGTTTCCAACTGAAGTAGATAACTACGTGTTTGAAGGAAAGGAAACATATTAACACCCATGCATGACCCTAAACCCATTGAAGAAAAACTGTGATGCTCCAGAATGAGCCTACACTGAGAGAACAGTTTCTTATGGACAAATAGAGTTTATATATCATTGAGAAATATCTGCATTGAATATGGACTGAGTGGCATTGAAATAAGTGCGAATATTTCAGACACTTAGGAATCTCGACGTGTACTATCGAATGGCACTAATAAAAAAATTTAGGAACCAAACTGAAATTCTAGGTTAGACCCCTTTTCCCGCCCAAAGTTTTTCACTGTAGCAAATTTGACGTCATCTCTGTTCAAATTTCCATGCGGTAGGCACAATCACGCGGAGTTCAATCATTCGAATTGATTCAAAGAGGCATACTTGTTTTTTTATCGTATTTTGTTCAATTGTCGGAATGGAATTCATCGTTTATTAGAAGAATAAGAAAGAATATGATATCATGGGAATATTCCTCAGACTCTGTATCATATAAATGTGCTGATTATATACAGTTATTTCAAAAACACCTTGTATATTCTTAATGATGGACGAATATCACTTTTTCTGTATTCGAATGTACCTCAAATATGAATGAATAATTCTTCAACAGTAAGTTCCCACTGGGCAAAAAAATCATTTTAGTTTCATCACATTCTTTCAACCTTGATAACATATTACGTTCCTTACAGTAACGTTGAATGTCCTCCAACATGACAGAAGCATTTTTACTTCACACGAAGTTTATCATATTGAGGTAACCTTCATGTTATTATTATCATTACATTGACGTAATTATTATTTCAACTGAATGAAAGCATTTTAACGTTCTTCTTGTTGACATCATTGATTGAATGAAACTGTTGTTACTCTTCTGACGTTATCATTCCATGCATTTTTAGTCATATTTGTTATTTACTCCCACTGGGCATTTTCCTAGTACTTTTACAAACTTCAGTCATCAGTTTCAATTTTGAAAATAGGGAAAAAACAGTTATGTTCCATTTTATCCTTACTTTGATGAGTCAAACTAATTGCTGGAATTCAAGAAATTATTAGGAGATACCCTGTGAAAGATGAATATTAAATCTTCGAGAATAATGAAGTATTCTCAACATATTCAATCTCATCATGAAGAAATATTCTATCAAATCAAATCATGCTATAGTTCTTCCGAGTAGATTTATCGATCGATATCGATGCATAACTTTTTTTTAATCAATAACATAATAGATAACACAGACATGATGGAGATTCGAGCTCGCATTCGAGGGGCAATCAAGGAAAGAATCACAAAATCACCAACCATCACCAATTGAATCAATTTGAGTCTTGAGTAGATGATTATTAAGGTATTTCCCACATTTTTCCATTCATTTCATATGCCTGTTGAGTACTTACTGCTGAATGTATTATATCTGAGACAGTGTTGAATATATTGATTAGTGGTATATTTATGTAACATACTTGATATTTGATAATCCACACTTCTCGAGACGTCCAAAAAAGTGTTGACCTTACCTACAAAGTCAATACATTGCCACGTGATCTCTTAAAGAGTAATAATGAAAAAATCCCTCTAAAAACGGATGCGGAATAGAACGAGCAAGATTGCTCCGAAACTCAGTCGGGTATAGGGTGGGTCAAATCCAAACACACCGTATAATCGTAAATTGAATGAGAGGAGCGCCACCAACTTATACAGAAGCGAGTTTGAGTTAGAAAAAACCCAAGGTCTCCTAGGTCCCGTTTTACAGATAATAATAACATGAAAAAAAAAAACTCAATCAACTGGATGACAAAGAATTCTTGTTGAAAAAATAGGTATACAATAATCGGATACCTACTCACCTATTTCGATTCTTGAATGGACCTAATGTCGAGATATGATAAACTGCAAGACAGTTTAAAGTCGTCAAACGTACGACACTATATATCAACAAGCTTCAATAGTTAAATATGAAATGAGAATGTGCACCAGATTATCCCAGGAAAAAAATTCAAGTTTATTATAAAGGCAAAGATTATTCCGAAATTATCTTGTAGAATAGGTCAGCTACTGAAATAAATTGCGATATAGAAAGATAGTTATGTGGTTGCCACGGATCTTCCTTCACATTTCGTGATTCAGTTTTACAAACAATCGAGTACATCTCGAATGATTCTCATGATAGTTCGGAGATCTAGATCAATATTCCATTCAATCAGAAGAAACCTAGGAATATTAACGAAAATGCATGAAATCCAGCCCAACAGTTGAAATTGCAGCAAATTAGTGAATCTATTTGCAAACAGTATTTATATTCGAACATCCTGATAATGATCATACCTTATACTCTTTACTCATTCCTCACAATGCCATGGGAAGATATAATCGTATCCACTCTCAAATGATAGGAAATAATAGTTCCAGGACCTTCTCATGATTGTTCAAATTATGAACTACACAGCCAATTTATTCTGATACAAGCACACAAAATGTATTCGTAAATTTGAAGTAAGATGATTCAGATTGTATGTATGTCAATAAAATTTCCCGATTTTGATGATGGGATTGTATACTCACCACAATGAATCTTCTAAGTGCCTCTTTACTCAGAACGTATCCTGCTCCACCACTCATGTATCCTTGTTTGGTAAATGGCTTGAATCTGAGTCCATAATATATGGGTATTTGATTATCCACTGGATATAACATATATCTCAGATTTTCTAATATCACATATCTGTAAGTGAGAGTTTCCTCTTATTAACTGAATACTCGATACCAAAATACACTCAGACAAAGGAAGAACAGGTTATCCTATGAATATCCGATAAATATCTGAAAGTTAGATTCCGGACATAAATAAGATATCCTGTTTGGGATGAAAGATGTTTTATCCTAGGTAACACGGAACTCTCTGCGATATCTCTGAGTACTTATTCTCAAGATCATAATGCGAAATCCTCCTGCGAGGTGCCAGAGATCACTATAGGCTGTCAGTAGGGGTAATACACTATGGAGTCGCCTGAAAGATATCGCGGATATCTCGCATTATATTTGAAATATTTGACATAATTGCGAATTCCTGAGGTTATTTCTAACGGGAACTAGATAAATATATCTTCCTGCGATCACCCAAAGTTATCCTGGACGTGACAAGAACGAGCATTTCCCATTGCGAGACAAACATATCCTGAATAATTAATGAATATTTATACCAAAATTTTCAGTTGGTTCTTCTTCATACACTTTTATAATTCATCAGTGAAACAAAATATTCATGGATGTATTCATATACTATCATAATAATAAAATCAATCTATACTAGATACTGCATAACCATATCATGTCTCAGAGAATTTCTTCAACAGTTGATATTTTTCCACCATCACGAACCATAATAATTCAAAATTTTGCAGTTGATTAATAAGAATTATCAACTTTGACGAAATAATCTGAAATGTTTGCCTTTCGTGGTGAAGCATACATCGGATCACTGTGTGAATTTGATGAAGAGTATATTCGGACATACCCAACTGAAATATTTTCGACAATGCGGTGTTGACACTTCTATAAGAAATTTTAAGCTATTTCGATATTTCAAATAGAACATCCCATTTATTATATTATTTTTAGAATCATCAAACATTTTCTGACAACTTTTCTTGTTATTTTTCATACCTATGAGTTAGTGTTCTCAAAATGAAAATTAATTTCAATTGTTCTCTTCGGAGATCATGACCTCAAGAATCCTGAAATTTTTCAGTTTTGGTTCGAAGTAAGGTAATACTTGGAGGTTCCTCACATTCCAGGCTGATCTCCGATACTTTCATACAGGATGAGATAAAAATACAGTTATATCATCTGCTCAAAAGGGAGACTGGCAAATGACTATTTCAAAAATAACACCCTGTATATTATTGAGAAATTAGGAAGCTTCGGGAATTTTATTCCTTCCTTTGTGTATCATGCTCATACCTATCTAGTCAAGTTCCGGACTTATGAGCTTTTATTTGTAACAAGGTTACTGGCAGAATGGTATCCCCTTCAGATGAATATTCAGAGGATCGTTTAACACATACTAGCAGCTTTTGCCGATCAAAATATCAAAATAGAGTGCGATGTTCTCTCAAATATTCAGAATACATTTGCTTATCCGTTGATGTTTCATTTATTTACTGCAAATTAACAATATGATCACAAGTTATTTTAACACTTCGTATCATCATTCAATGTATATCACGAAGTTTCAAAGGCTATAGAATGAAGACCAATAGTCCCCCCCCTCTTCTTTTCCCCCTATAACTTGGAATTCTTGTTTTCACATGAAATATTATATTATGAACATCTCAGATGTTCAACATTTATTCCGATCGATACAGAGTCTCAAGAGAGTGCAGCGACATATAAGTTATTTTTCTCAATAGGATATCCTATTTATCATTGCATTTTCAGATTTTACGTTGAATTATGAACAGGTTCAATGGATGGTTACATTTCACAAGAAGAAGGTTCTAGAATTATGAACTTCAAAATATCTTCAAGGCTGTCTAGGATGGACGTCCAAGAGATATCTGGCGGCCTCCAAATCAGACATCCATGTGATATCTGCATAGGATATCCATCAGGGATATGCAAAACTTTTTGTGAAAGATTTTCACGTTCAACTTGTGCGTTGATTTTTGCTTTAAAATAGATGAAAAATAGCCAACTCAGTCGGAGTTACGTGACTTCCGTTACATGTCAAAAGTTTCATGATTTCAATTTCATCGCTGAAAATAGGCTGAGCATTTGATCGAATTTCGAAAAAACTCATGAAGATAAATTGTTTTTATTCCAATTTTTTCCATAACTGTATCAGATTTGAACATTCCCAAGTAGCACACATATATTGGGACAATATCGGTGCAGTATTACGAAAATATCGGCAAAATATTGTGAAATTAATATTGGCAAGAAAAAAAAAATGTGAACATTAGGCGATATTGGTACAATATCAGTTTCCAAATGTGGGTAGCATATTGAAAATCAGCATGTTGCAATGTCGCCGCGAGAAAAATTGTGAAACATTTTCATTTCAATATTGGTCGAATATTCGTCGGTCACAAAATGTAATATCAATATTGGCGAGAAATTAATGGTGAACATTTGGCGATATTGGTGCAATATTATATGGAAATATCGGTGAATCATTGAAAATCATCATGAAGCTATGTTGTCTCGAGAATATTGGTAGAATTTTTTTATACCAATACTGATGGAATATTCGTGAAGTTATATTGGTCGCGAAATGTGATTTCAATATTGCTGATAAATGAACAGTGAACATTTGACAAAACTGGTGCAATATAGGTTGGAAATATTGGTACATTATTGAAAATTATGATGTGGCTATGTTGTCTTCAAAATATTGGTGGAATATTTTCATACCAATATTTGCGAGTTATTCGCATTAGGAATAATCACAAAGGTCAACCCAGCCAGAGTGCAATGGGAGGCCCTTGCCATTGCCTTGTTGATCACGGTTAACCCCTGCTGCTCTTCAATCGTCTAGAGTCAATATTTATATCCTCTCGTATGATCGGCAATGGGAGTACGTTACCAATCATTTATAGCGCCATCTATCGACATCGGTATGATAGTCCGTGATATGGAATTAATATCGAAATTTCGATATCGATATGTATTTTCGAAACAATATGTGAAACATATTGCTCACATGATATAGTGAATCAGATATCAGCCAATATGAGATGATATTATTCTCTGAAAATGGCTGAAAAACTATTCAACCGATATGCAATTGAACTTGAAAATACAATATTGTTTTTGTCTTCTATGACCGATATAAGATATATATCGAATTGCCGTTATTGATGTTCATCTTTGAAACAATATGCAATCCATGTCTTTCGCATGATATAGTTAAAACGATATCAATCAATTTGGGTAAATGAAATGTTCTGAATATTGTCGAAACAATATTCGAAAATGAGCCGTCGAACTCAAATATACAATATTGCATAACCGCTTCAGAATCGACATGGGGAGAATGTTCAAATTGCGATATTGGTTATAATTGTTGAAAGCAATTCCAATTTCCGCATGATATAGTTGGAATGATATCAATCAATATAGGTGAATTCAATGATCCAAATATTGTTGAAACAATATTTTACCAATGTGCCGTCAAACTCGAACATACAATATTTCATAACCGCTTTAGAATTGACATGGAGAGAATGTTCAAATTGCTATATTCATTTTAGTTGTTGGAAACAATATGTATACGATATCTTCCGCATGATATTGATGAAATAATATCAATCAAGACAGGTGAATATGATGTTTCAAATTATGTTGAAACAATTTTCAACCAATGTGCCGTCGAACTTAAATATACAACAATATTGCACAACCGCTTCAGAATCGACATGAGGAGAATATTCAAATCGCGATATTGGTTGAAAATGTAAGAAACAAAATGTATACGATGTCTTCCGCATGATATCAATCGAGATAGGTGAATATGATGTTTCAAATATTGGTGGAATAATATTGAACCAATATGCCGTCGAACTTGGAAATACAATATCGTATAACCGTTTCAGAATCGACATGGGGAGAATGTTCAAATTGCGATATTGGTTATAATTGTTGAAATATATATATATATATATACGATGTTGTTGTATCGACATTTGTAAAACAATATCATATAACATTTATAGATATGTTTCCAACACATTGTTAATGAATTTTACAACCAATATTGCTTCAATATCGTAGCTGACAATCCATAGTCAGCAAAGGTTGAACCAATATTCCACCAATATTATCATTTCAATATTGTATGTCCAATATACGATATATCGGCCCAATATGAAATCAGGTTCCAGCCAATATGATGTGCTACCTGGGTTCTATTGCAACTTTTAGTTCTTGATATTCTTCGATTTCTTCTAAAAGTGACTTCGAGAGAAGTGTCCTTATTAACCCTGGATATATATTTAGTAACCTGAAATAGTTTGATGATATTATAATAGATGATTTTGGCATCATTTGAGTACTGAAGAGATCAAATACGATGAATTCAGCTTCTGAATGATAGACGATACATCAAGTTTGCATCAAGAATAATTATTATTTCATGAAAAAAAAAACATAGTTTTCTCGACAATTATAGATTGAGAGATAGTAGCACGATAGAGCCACTAGAACGAAAGTGTTTCGTTGGTGTTGATTTTCTCCAATATCACAGGCATTTCGATAAAATTGGGGAAACATCAGAAACTAGAAGTTGTTATAAAACGTTCAAATTCGAGATACATATGATGTGAAATTGGAATAGGAACGACTTTTCTTTGTGAACTTTCTTGAAATGCATTGAAATGAGCGATTTTAGTGATTAATTTGATGAAAATGTGAGTTTTGACATGTAGCTGAAGTCACGTGTCCCTGTAGTACACGCTTTCTGTCCATTTACTGATTTTTTGGGTACTAATGAAACTAGGCTATTATATTCCGAGGTTGATGGTTCTTTTATGATTACTATGTGAAATTTTTATTATTTGCCAATTTTACTCATCTTTATGTAGTTTGGGAGTTCGGTAGTTTTTATTATAAATGGGTTTGTATTCTGAAAGTTCGAGCTTTTGTTTATAAAAATCGAGATAAAAATCATTCACTGTAATTCCATGTGTTTCGAACGCAGAGATATCAGAAAATTTCAGGAAACTA